GGGTGTACTGTCTGAGTATAGTTTTACTGATCAAACGGTTTTTCTCAGACTCATTTGCAGTTTATTCGGAATATGCTACAGTAGATCCAATGGCGTTTTTCAATCATTACTCTCAAATCAAACAGTTTTTAATTTACCTCTGATGTTAATTTCCTCAATCATTGCTTTTAATGTCGCCAGTACATTGCAGTTATGTTTTAGTGTAGTTAACCCCTTTCAATTATACATGTACATGAGCTGTGTCATTTTTTTGTTTTTGATTTCTCATGTAAAATGCGCACAGAGCACATCGATAAATAGCTTTATTCATACAATATATTTGACATTCTGACGTACTTATTAATAACGTGCTTTATACACCAGACGATTGATATGTGCTGCAACTACCCATATCATTATTTGGAGCAGCATATTGTTTCCGTTACATTGTCTACTTTTCAGAAACCACATGGTAACCAGTCAATTACATTGTACATCACGAAGGACAAAGGCTCGTATTGATTATTTGATATATTTGAAGAAACATCCGTAAATACGATGAATAATCTGGTGTTCAGCACAAAATATAGAAGATGATTTCTTTGTCAAATATTGACATACGTCAAAGTAATGAAATCAACATTAACAGAAATGTAAATGTTTCATATTGATATGAATGCATAGTAACATATGCTGATGAATGCATTAGCCATTATATATAAAACATACAATGTACAAGTGTGCATTATTCTACGGTACTCTCACTCGCATAGAGCTGATACTACGGTGTGTTCTTTCATTCACACTGCGACATATCACTAGCGTTCGATATGCAGCGTTGTGACTGGTCACTTACGTTCGATATTGAGCATTGCAACATATCACTAAAATTCGATAACATTAAGTTTAGTTTTGTTAACTTTCATCATAAATGAAACATGAATTACTCTTCTCGACATTTCCGGCAAATTTAAAATGTCTATATCTATATCCCATCTAATTGAACCTAGCCAATATCAACCAAATTATAACTGTTTTTTTCTTTTTTAGATTATCATGTCGACGCTGCTATATTTGATATTAGCGTTTTCCGTTGTCTGTCCAGCCAAGGTAAGTTCGTATAGTTTTCGTTGTCATGCATTTGTATCGTCAATATCCATTCTCTTCAACACGGTTTTAGTGTAAATTTGTTTAACAAATCTATGATCCCGGCTGATTTAATTCATAATTGATATGTAATTATAAATAGTGGTACTTTTTTTTACAATTGCTTTCCACTATAGAATGGCAACACAAATTTGACACATCTTATTATGTGTTATTGCACTCAACAACAGACTATATCAAGCATTTTACTTTAAAAGTTGACATGCACAGGAATGGAAGATATCTTGTCTAATGGCACTTGAAAACTGGCCTTTCTCACCCATAGACATGTATTGTGCTGTATTGTTTATACTTAAATTTAATAATGTAGTTCATAGTTTTCCAATGAAATTGTAATCTTGTTATATATTATTACATTGCGCCGATGAGCATTGTCCCCCTTTCCTTTTCCGACACCAATAATACTCAAATTAGTCATGTTTAATAACTGCCTTTTCCATAGAAAAAAGCATATTTCACAAATGTGATGGTTATTTCCAAATAAACAGAAAATTAACAAATATACATTTAAAAGGGTGTCTCTAATCCATTATGAAATCAACTAGTCCCGAAAACAGTAGGCCATATGTATTAATAATCTTGTTTATTAGATTTACATTAGACAATTTGACATTTTCAGCTGGTTGCTTTGTCAGTATGCGAGGGTGGTACGCTGAATATAGATTGCGGTTCTGACCTCATCCATATATTAGCTGCAAATTTCGGTAGGACAGATGGAACTACATGTCCCCACAGTGCAATGAGCAATCAGGCATGTTTTGCTACTAATAGTTTAAGCATCGTCACAACTGCCTGTGAAGGGATTTCAATTTGTTCAATTGATGCTTTAAATAGTATATTTGGTGATCCTTGTCATGGAACATACAAATATCTCGAAGTTGATTACGAATGTAAGTATAAATTACTAAATTTACGACTCGTAGATTTTATTACGCATATACGTAAAACTACTTGATTTCGTGTGCGGATTTGACTGCGGAGTGAATTTTAAATTACTTAATTAAGTGTGCACAAATTGATTGAGTGTATCAATGCATTGTACATGTCTTCTAATTTTAATTATTAGAATAACCAGAACGTAATGAAACATGGCGGATAACCGCCACACATTACCGTCGAATCATATTTTGTAGTGGAAATCTTCTTGGAGACACCTGCTCGTGTACATTTTCATCCTAATTCATTATAGTAATTTTCATTGAAAATAACCAAGTTATTGTGTTAATATTTTCAAATATATACTCGTGAACTACATTACTAACGTTGTTTGTTGTTTAACAATTACTGTAGGCGTGACACCTGTAGAACCGGTACCTGGTAAGTCATAAAGTCACTATTACAAATCTCTATTTACACCTGACATGTGTGCGTGTGTAGTTAGGTTTATGTCCTGGTAACGAACGGACATTCATCCTTAACATTAACACAATATGTCTGGATTATAGTCAGGTAGTTTAAGAATGTCATTTTATAAAATCATATATATATTTATGTCCAATGTGCTCATCCATTTCGCTGAACATTTACTTGATTGTTGTGAAACAATTCATTAAATATCGATAAAGTAGAATCATATAACACTGCTCGTTACATTCTAACAATGCATTATATTGTGCATTAACAGAGGTCGTTGAAGTTGGTTGCTTTAACAGCAATACAGATGATGAACCCATTGAGTCTTTGGAATGCCGAGATGACCACTTAGTATTCCACCATCTTGAGCGTGAGCTTCATGTAGAGAAGTGTGCCCAGGCAGCTGCAGCTAGAGGGTGGACAACATTCTCATTGTTAGATGGAGGTGCTTGTCACTCAGATGCCGATGCATGTCAGAATCAGGACAATTTTGGAGAGACAACCGACTGTGGTGCGACAGGGACGTCATCGAAGCATACAGTGTATGAAATTATCCAAACAGAGCTGGTGTGCGAACATCAAACTCTCCACCTGGAGTGTGATTGTGGTTTTATTTACATACTGAGCGCCAACTATGGACGTAAAGATGGAGTCACGTGTGGAGGTCCTGTACAGACAACTGACTGTTCTGCTACTACTAGCTACAATATCGTCTATGGTGCATGCGACGGAGAAATATCATGTGACGTGGTTGCCGAGAATGATGTGTTTGGCGATCCGTGTGTGGGTACTGTCAAGTACCTTGAAGTGGAATACCACTGTGAGTAACGTAGATGTGAAATAACGGTTGATGCTTTGAAATATGCTCTTTAATATCAACTTATTATTGATAAAATTGTGCTTGTCACATAAATATACTAAATATATCATTAACGATGATTTTATTTCAATTAAAACCCTACTTTTTTCAGAATTATGACTGATATTTTTTTTTCGGCGACATATGGTGCAAAAAAAGATGTGTCTTACAAGTTGTTTTTTTCATGTCTTTATGTTGAAATATGTTTTCATCATGTTATATGGAAATCACAGCTAAATTGTCATTTTATGTATACGATTTGACAGATATTTTGGAATAATAGTTTGACTAAAAAGTGCAAATATTGTTGACTAACACTAAATGATTAACAATAAACATATTTAGAGTGACCTCTGCCATACGCGCACATGTCAAATGCATTTTCATGCCGAGTATATTGCAATTGTGCATTTCCTCTGTGGTTCGATAGGTACTTTCAAAAATGTATATAAATCCGCACCAAAAAATAATATTACTTGCTGTTGTCGCCTTGTTTTGTACAGTCAGCAGTATGTCATTGGTTTTAGACATGATCTCTTCAGCCAATGTACGCTTAATCGACGCTTGTGAGACTATTGGCGTTCAGGAGAAACCATTCAAACGTGTCCAGCCACGGAAAAAGTAACTTTCATTTAAATCAATGCCTGACTCGATCGTGAACATGTCCACACTAATTTTAGTTTAGTATGTGTGCCGTGTTTTAATTCGGGATAATGAAAAGTGCTCCAAGGTCTTGCACTACATGCTCTGTCGAACCATTGCTCCTTGTTGTAATCTGAACGATACACATCCCGGAGTGTCTTAACCGTTTCTGGTATGCCCGGGAGAAACATTCAATTATGCCGGCGCTACCGAATGGGGTCTGAATTTTATTGTTGAAGCTGTCCTGGGCTCATGTGATAATATAAATTTTGATCATATTCACGAAAACTGACAGAACAAAAACAGTTTTCTTGTCGTGAATGCATGCCGAATTTTAATTTTTTTTCTCGGAAAGTTACTTAAAAAAATACCGCTTTTTCTATCAAGAGTAACACGTATTATTTATTCAAGAAACGAAAACAAAAAAATATGAAATAAATGCAATAACATAATCTCTATAAAATGTATGAGCGTGAATTCCGAGAGTTTAAAAAACACCTCTTATAATATAGTAAACTACTCAAAATATGTACAATATCAGAGTAATTCAGGACACTGAGAAATAAGAGAGGACAAATAATTACTATGAAGACATTTATGAATATTAACCAAAATAAACACAATTTTTGATCTATATGACAGTTTGTTGAATATTTTGTTAATTCTATAATAGTAAAGAAAGAACGTTTTCCATATTAACTCGGATTGTTTGCAAAACAGCTCACTGAAATGTAATGTAAAGCAAAATTGAAGATATTTAATCACATTTTAGTGATTATTTCGGGACGGTCAACGCTGTTGTAATTAATTTCCTGGGTTTGAAATATTTGTGAATAAAAATACGGCAAATCATTTGGTTGTAACCAATTGATTGGAGTATCTATCTAACTTGATTTCAACATCAAAGAAATAATATTTACTTAGCCACTATTCTACTGTGTGAACTTGTATGTGAATTTCTATTTGCAGGCAATCAAATTAGTGGTGAATTACACATTGAATAATTAAAATTATCTTGAAGTGGAATATGCATGTGTATAGTAAGTACAGTATTGTGTAATATTATTTCGTATTATTTACATCAAATAGATAAAAATGTTAAGTCACTCATTATTAATATTAGCACAGTAAAAACAATATCATCTGAATAAAAAATATAGTTTAAAGAAAAGTACTGCGTTGGAACAACCATGTTTTATTATGCTTTTGACGAGTATCCATTAATATTTTGCAACAAAGACACAACCAATTTAGGTAACTGGAGAACCGTCTCTTGCAAAAATAGCGGTAAATTATTTTATTGGTAATTTATTTTTAGCATTTTCACAAACTTGTATTCTACACATACCAGATTTCTTGAAGAGTATTTATCGCTAAATTAGATCCCATCCGGGGTTAATACCTGTACTATGTTCAATGCCGCTGATAGAGACATATTCACTAACAATGATATGGACCGACACCGATTGTGTTTGCCATAACGTCATTATATGATAAGAAAGCGACCATTCAACCACGACTTGTCAAACTTTAAGTTATGTGTGCTTTGTAGTAAGTGGAATATTTGAACCGAATTGAACTAGTGAATTTCGCATGCAAATATCATTCAGTCGCCAGTAACATACAATAACCGCAAAATATGTTGTGAGCTACCCATGCAGCTCTCAGAAGATAACTAGACAGTGCATGAGGTCAATACATACATAGGAATATGTAATTTATTCGTATACGCCATATGGCAAAGTGATCCTGGTTTACATTTATTGTATCAAGCACTGATTCTGAATATTTTAATTTTTTACAGGAATCTTGCACTGAATGTATCGAGTTGATGTACTTAGTTAATGACAACAACATTAATTTAAGATAAAGATATCATGGCGTTTTCGACTACATCCACATCAATTACTTTCAGTAATATTTAGCTTATTTGCAACTTTACGGCATTATTCAATATTAAAACCCAGTTATCATTACTATGGATAGAACAATCGAAAATGAGTTTGTTTGTCTATAAATTAATTCATTGGGTCATCACTAACATTCTCAACACACTGTATAAATCTCTATATATGCTGTGCACTACACCCAACTTGTTGTGTTTATGTATGAAGGAACTGATTTATAGTGTATGTTACTTTACTTTATATGCTCTGCAGCATAATTCCCACACTAACCCGTGTAACCAACATAATACCTTTGGATTTCGTAGACTGTTTGAATGTATTGAATAGTTCAGATACTAGCAGTCATCTAACGAATCCTAACGACATACATTAAATGATCCATGTATTGAACTCCATAGGATGTACTTCAGTGTTACTATGGTAAAATGGTATTTTTTTATGATTTAACTAAGAATCATACAATACTGCAATTTGCCTTTGCCACGACTATATCAAGCTTCTTGTCATACGGTTTGATGAGCACCGTCTTAGCTGCCCTGGTAGCTTTGTAATAGTGTTTTTTGGGGGGCTGACGAAAAATAGTCCCAAAGGTGACATGACGTTGCTATGTGCAATATGTAGAGCAATCTATGTAGATATAGGCAATATGTACCCAGCTGACTACTTACTCTAATGAATCAGTCCGTCATTTCAAATAGTTTTTGCTTAGATTCTATTCACAAATTTAAAGCGTGCTTATTCTTGAATAATATTTACAGTAAGTCCCAGAAGTATTGGGGCAGCCAATTTGCAAACTCGCTAGGGAATCGGATAACTGCTTTGGTTTTGACTAAACGATTGGCTTTCGAATCTCGCTGGCGCCGTCCTGTGGTCACGCCCACTCTGAATGAATCTATATAACAGTAGGGGACGGTCGTCATACTTTAGTTGGATGGCGATTTCGCTTTCAAATATACCAGGGAAAGTGTTCCATTTTCTTCGGGTAATGAGGTGTTCGTATACAAAGGAATTGTCCACGCAAAAACTATGTATGAAGTGGAATTTTATTAGCGGTTGGTTTAATGTTACCCCAATGAATCGTTTAGATGTGAAACGTTATTTTCTCCCTGATTTATAGGAAACTGTTTCTCAACTTGTCTCTTTATTTAGTTTCAACCAATGATCAAAATGGCCACCCCCATATAGTAAATATCGGTGGATTAATCGCATTTATCATAGTATGCTTCGACTTTGCCAGTCTATCAAAACCCAAGCAGTTAGCCAATTCGCTAGCGAGTTTGCAAATTGGCTGCCCCAATACTTCAGAGATTTGCTGTAATACAAATTTGAAATACAGCAAAAAATTGCTTTTAAACTTAATAACATTACGTGGCATCAAATTACCTCGGTACACATTCCGACTGTGGTGTCAAATTTCACCTTTGTGTCGGTTATTTGGTTGGTTTCAAACTCAAAGGGCGGCAGTCGTCGTGCCGCTTCCTGTTCGATATGGGGCTCATAGCGACGTATACAACGCTAGTAAAACACATTGTTTATTTACATGAATTTCGAACACGCGCTGCGCGGCGACCACCGCGCTTTAAATACTACTTAGCGTTGCTTAGAGAGAAAATCTACTTCAATAAAAGACCAATTAGTTCCATTGTGATGGAAGAATGTTGCGAAAAGCAATGCTGTTGACAATTGCAAGGACCAACTTTATTTCTTCTGGGTAGTTGTTCGTAAATTAAAATATATAAAATTTCTCAAAAAAAATATTTATTAGCGGAAAACTATAGATCAGCAGCTACTTTGTGTCACAGTGCAAGACCTGCTTATCGCTAATGAGAGGGCCACCCACAGAACTCGCACTGGATAGGGGGTTCTTTCACTGCTAGTATGGGGTAGACAAGACAATATTACTGGAAATGAAATACACATACACCAACATATCGAGTTAAAACTCCTGGCTTTAATACCTTTCAAAATAATTACAAGAAATAAAGCACAGACAAATACAATGAATAGAGTCATTAAAATAGGGGATTGCTTAGGGAAGTGTGCATTGGTGATAACTCACAGTTCCAGGATGTAGTAATGGACGACAGTCAATGGCTTCTGCAGCAATACAAAGATCCAAGAACACAACTATGGGGTGAGAATACCGCCAAAATTAGCTTGGTGTCATTATTTGAACATTGTTTAGTTGTTTGGTCTTTATTTGGAAACTTGTTTGGTTATTATTTGGTCATTATTCGGTTATTTGGTCTTTATTTAAACATTATTTTGCGCTTATTCCATTATTGTGTTATTACTGCAGCATCGTATTGCTATTGTTTCATTATTCCAACTTCATTTCTTAATTATTTCATTATTGTGTAATTATTACAATATTATTTTGTCATTGTTTCATAATGTTACAATTGTGTCGTTATTTAGATATTATCTTGACTTTCAATTGTTATAAGATTCGGTTATTTTCACGTCCAAATGTCTTGATATTCGGTTCGCTTAACTTGCGATTACCTCGACATTCGGTTCGTTTGACTTGCGATTACCTCAACATTCGATTACCTGACCTACATTAGCTGACCCCGCTATACATGTAGTATTCAATCCATAGTCCCGGGCCG